AATTAACTTGCTTAGAAAAAAATTTTACCACTATTTTAAACAAGTGACTATATTGATATAGTGAAAGTTGGACAATTTATATTGTGTCACTTAAAACAAACAGTTTCTTATTGTTTTTCTGAAAACATCTGACAATTAATCAAAGTGTGGCATTTCTGCAAGTTTTGAAGTTAATACAACATGTGACTTTATGCAATTTAGTCAGGCATGACATCCGTGCCACAGAATTAAGAATGTGTTTGAATTTAGGTTGTGATTGAAAATTGGTTGTTTCGGGATATAATAATTTATAAAGGTCAAAATAAAATTATTCTGAAATATTCAAGAATGTGCCCCATTTGGTAGAGACGTAACGGCCGTGACAAGACCAAAAAATTGTAGGCGTATATGCCGGTTTTCCTGTAAAGGCAGACATCTGTGTAATATCAATTTGTAAAATCTGTCGGTTTTGCAGTCTAAGTATGATCGAAATGTCTTGGGTACGAAAGACTCGAGATCTCCAAATTACTTCGAAATTATTTACGAAAGTTTTAGTCCTCGGAAACAAATGGGCATCAATAAATAAACATAATATTATTAGTCATCAAATTGATAACATATTTTGCTTTATAACATACCTTATGAGCTTAACAGGCTGATAATTATGCTCGTGAAGTAGGTCGAAAAATATACCGGAAGTTGTCGGATTCATTTAACCTAATTATCGGCTAATTCAGAGACGAATAGATTATCTACATCTCTGGCTAATTCTATTTCAATATCCACTTTGCAATTAAAAACTACAAAATTTATCCGATAAATAATGTCTTTTTTCAAAAATTCTGGAATATAATACAAACAAATGTGATGATAAGGCGGATGAGTAAGTTAAATATTGCAAGCCGTCAAGCACTACATATGACCCAATTAATTTACTATCCCATTCATAGAATTATGTGATCTTTCAAATTATATCCGCTACGTTTCTAATACCATAATTCAAGCTCAATTGCACATTATTTTCAAAAAAATAAATTTCTTGTCTCCACTTCTGTTCGCAATAAATCGAAGTTTTCAGAAATTCAGAGCACTATTTTTCACTCGCGGCGGTAATGCGTCGGTCATGGTCGGGTGATCACTATGAATTCAGCTTACTTTGATATGTTAGAATACAATATAGCATTTAGAGTGGCGATGAAACGTCACAGCAGTGGGCGTTACCCTGTATGGTTGGAAATTTCGGGTTTGTAAGTGCACTAGTTGGGACTACGTCCCAACTAAAAAGGAAACGTTAAGATATGTTCAAACCTTTCTGTGTTTGCGTTTAGAAAAAGTAAAAAGTCGAGCGTTGCCCCCGCCCGGCGGTGGCTCTTGTTGTTCAATGCACTGCTGAAATGACGGGCTGCTAATTCGTATTTCCATTTTCAAGTGCGTAATGTGCTATGTTTGCCCTTGTTTCGGGCGAATACTCTCCATAATTCCCCCTTTTACGTTTTCCAGATGTACTAGCATGATCAGTGGCATCTTCAACCAACTTATTGGCTAAAGTCTGCACTGGTGTCTCTGGTACGGGCAGCCCGCTGTCAGTCACAGATGCCCTCTTAAAGAACGAAGTTATCTTTTTACTAGACATCACAGAAGTACAGCAGACTAGAACGTGATACAAAACATTCAATACTAGTATTACTAGTAACAATGCTAGAGGCACAGATTATAATCAGGGACAAAACATGACAAACACAGTGAATTATCAAACTTAATTGACATATTTTTAGACAGACGGTTTTACTTAACAAGAAGATTAGCAAGCTATCAGAAAAATCGATACAGATATAAATGCATTTGTCGCACAATAAACAACGCAAAGTTAGTAAACAAACAGAACAGAAAAAATATCCGAATGACATCGGGTTTCCGGTTTCACATTTTTCGGGAAGACGCAAATTCATGTTGACGCAAATTAATTATTTTGGACATTTTGCCTCAAATTCGCGAAAAAAGGTTCTCGCGAAAAATAAGTGTTTTACAGTATGTGTTTTTTGGGGCTAAGAGGCTACGGGTGATTCATATTACTGATATTTCGGATACGTCTACGTCAAAGAGAAATATTGGAACAAATGTTGTAAAAATGAATATTGGAATAAATTCGAATATAGAAAACGAATATTCGAGCATCAAATTCCTTATTCGTTCCCAGTCCTAATTAAAATCCTACTTAAAAATAGAACCACAATATTTTGTTCAAGAACATTTTATGTCAGTTGACACAAATAATATTTGTATAAACATATATTCCTGTAATAGCTCCATTCATTAAAGGAACTTGGCTGACGTCCAAAAGCCGAGAAGTCCAAAAGCCTAAAAATGTAAAATTTGATACAACATACTTGCGAGACAAAATATTAGGCCATCACAAATCTAGGAAATTTTGCCACATTTTTATTGAACAAATTTGGAACAGGGAAATCTATATTATGGGGAAACACATATGTATATAGTGTGTACTTTTAATTTAACATTTGAAGTCATATTTGTGCAGAATGTTGTAATAGACCCTTTGAATCTTTTGTGATGTTTTCATGTTAAATGAATAGTTGGCATTCCATTTTGCAGAGATATTGATGAAGAGGATTTATTGGAGGATCAGGAGATTACAACATACAATGATGACAGAGATATGGTAAGTCTATAGTTAGCAGTGTTATATAGCTAACTTGTATCATAGTTTGGGGACCTTTCTGTTGAAAATGTGTTATACATATACATGCACAGTGTGTTAACTGGAGTGTAGGTATTTGTTACCCTCACTATTGGCTCATTTTTATGCTCCCCGAAAAATTCAGGGGAGCATATAGTCGCCGGTTGTCTGTCCGTCCGTCAGTCTGTCAGTCCTTCGGGACGTAGTCACTTCCTTACATTTGTATTCTTATTGGGTATTTAACTGTGTAAAAAAGTACCCAACAATACATCAATATTCATTAAAAATACCCAACAATACATACGGAATAAGTAGGATTGGTAGTTGTTGGGTATTTAGTACCCAACATATACCCTCTCGTGCGCTCCGAATTTGTGTCCATCCCATAACTTCATTATTTGAATGCGGATTTTAAAACTATTTCACAGAAATGATCACCATATTGAGACGACGTGTCGCACGCAACATTTGGGTTGTACCTTGAAGGTCAAGGTCACAGAATGCCCTTGCAGCAAAATCGTGTCGGGCCCATAACTTCGTGATTTGAAGTCGGATTTTACAACTATTTCACAGAAATGATCACCATATTGAGACGACGTGTCGCACGCAACATTTGGGTTGTACCTTGAAGGTCAAGGTCACAGGATGCCCTTGCAGCAAAATTGTGTCCGGCCCATAACTTCGTTATTTGAAGTCGGATTTTACAACTTTTTCACAAAAATGATCACCATATTGAGACGACGTGTCATGTGCAAGTCAGTGGATAGATCTCACTAAATAGAAGTGCAGTGCCAAGAACAGTTACTCTGTCTTGCCTAAGTTTGGAATCATCACACTTTGAACTTTGTCTGGGACATAACTCTACGTAAGATATACTTTTCTGTGTCCAAAACCTAGTTTGGGAGCATCACCCAGTTCAACCTGCTCTTGTAATCTAGGGTTTACTTATTATGACAAGAGAGAAAGGGAAAGCCATAGAAATATCATATCAGATGCTCGGTCATTGGTTACTCTTTTCTGGGGTGTCATATTGCGATAATAGGGAATGTGCTTTTATTTTTAACTATGATACAATAGAGAAAGAACATCAAAACACTTAGCAATCTGATTAATACTCAGGAGTTAGGCCCCCTTGTGCAAATCAGATAGCCTCGTGTTTCGATGCTCTTCCTATTACTAAAGTGGCAGTACCATTTTTAAATAAAACATGAACAATAAGGGTTTTTAGGTCACACTGACTATATTATGGTCATATAGTGACCTTCAAGCTTTACTGCTGAAAAAGGACCTTGTGCCTAAAATAATGCATTAAGGAGCACCTAAATAGAACCACCAATCTTCTGTACATTAGCTGGATAGTAAGTAAGTAAGTAACGACTTTATTTAACGAGGCTTACACATTCAGTTTCCCGATCTTCCATGTGGGCCTCAGCAAAGCATTTGAATCCAGGTATTTGAAAAAGAAAATCATCAATTTTTTCTGAAGAAGATTAAACTTCTAAAGCCACTTTCATTAAACTGATATCATACAAGTTCTAATTTCTGCTGGCTTAATATTCTTCAATTTTTGTTAAAATAAGGGGTGTAAATTTCTGTGTATCTTTTTCTGCGGTGTCATCATTCTGGCATTGATGTTTTTAATTTTGCGTTTTAATTTAGATATTTTTACAAAATTAACCAACACAAACAGACAACATTTCAAGATTTGTTGATGTTACATGTACTTATAATGTGTTTCATTGTTATCATCATGTATCAGTATATAAACGTTAATAACCAAAAATCAACAACGTGCAATGACAAAAATTAATTGTAATACTGCATGACTTGTGTGAAAAATAAACAATGTTAAAATCGCATGTAGACACAAGATATTGTACAAATACAAAAGGGTATGTTTTTTGAACCCGTCAAACTATAATAGTTCTATTTTACAAAAAAAATTCAAGCTTAGGGTGAGCAAAAATCATACAAACATGATATTTATTTAAACAAAAAGAACAAGTAAAGTAACATATTTTAGCTCACCTGTCACAAAGTGACAGGGTGAGCTTTTGTGATCGCTTTTCGTCCAGCGTACGTCGTCCGTAAACTTTTACTTAAAATGACATCTTCTCATAAACCACTGAGCCAAATTCATCCAAACTTCACAGGAATGTTTCTTTGGTGGTCACCTTTGAAAATTGTTCAAAGAATTTAATTCCATGCAGATCTCTGGTTGCCATGGCAACCAAAAGAAAAAACTTTAAATATCTCCTTCTAAAAAACCCAAAGAGCTAGAGCTTAGATATTTGGCATGAAACATCTTCTGTCTACCAAGTTTGTTCAAATAAAAGCACTGGGGTCAAAATTGGCCCTATCCAGGGTGTCATTGATTTTCCCTTTATGCATATAGTTAAAACTTAAAAAATCTTTTTTTAAAGAACCCAAATGGCTAGAGCTAAGATATTTAGCATGAAACATCTTCTAATAGATGTCTACCAAGTTTGTTCAAATAAGAGCCCTGGGGTCAAAATTGTCCCTGCCCCAGGGGTCATTGATTTTCCTTATATGTGTATAGCAAAAACTTAAAAAATCTTTTTTGAAAAAAACAAATAGCTAGAGTTTAGATACTAAGCATGAAACATCTTCTAATAAGTGGTTATAATGTTTGTTCAAATAAGAGCCCTGGAGTCAAAATTGACCCCGCCCCAGGGGTCATTCATTTTCCTTATATGTGTATAACAAAAACTTAAAAAATCTTCTTTGAAAAAACTCAAATAGCTAGAGTTTAGATATTAAGCACGAAGCATCTTCTAGTGAGTGTCTACAATGTTTGTTCAAATAAAAGCCCTGGGTTCAAAATTGGCCCCACCCCAGGGGACATTGACTTTCCTTATATGTGTATAGCAAAAACTTAAAAATCTTCTTTGAAAAAACCCGAATAGCTAGAGTTTAGATATTAAGCATGAAACATTTTCTAGTAAGTGTCTACAAAGATTATTCAAATAAAAGCCCTGGGGTCAAAACTGGCCCTGCCCCAGGTGTGTCTTTGTTTTTAACTATATGTGTAAAGAAAAAACTTGAAAAAATCTTCTTTTAAAAAAACCCAACGAGCTAGACCTTAGATGTTTAGCATGAAACATCTTCTAATGGGTGTTACCAAGTTTGTACAAATAAAAGCCCTTGGGTTAAAACTGGCCCGCTCCAGGGGGCTATATACAGGTTGTTTCTAATATTTTATTCATGACGGATACATATTAAAGAAAACTTATCATCTACAAAACTGATAACGGTACATGGAAAATGTAATTATACAATACCGGTAGTTGACATATTCTGACACAGACATAGGGAAAGGCTTAATTTTCTGCCGTTTTTATACCCAAGCACAACAAAGTTGTAAGGGGGTAGGCATATACTGGAATCAGCTTGCAGGGCCCTCAATCCAATTTGGGGGAAGTGGGTCGCTACCCTCAGCAGGGGGAATTTTAGTGTATGGGGGGAATTTTCCTCTTTTCTTTTATGATCAAATATCAAATAAACTTACTTATATAATATATAAGCTTTTTTTTTACATGCATATTATTTAAAAAAAAAATCCCAAATAGGTAACACTAAACTGTTCAGAAGTGATTGATAAGATTTGAAGAAAAGTTTTTAACACCTTACACCATCAGACCTTTATGCTGCTTAGCTTTCTTTATGATTCACCCCCCCCCCCCTCCCGCCTTCAAATTGAGAAACACATTCAGACAAATGTCTCCATTTCCACTAATATGAACAATACATGGACCTAAAGTAAATTCTATTCATAAACTAAATTTCTAGTGTTCTAACACACCTTTTAATAAGACAAAGCTTCCTTTTCTTGACTTTGTAAAACAATTGTAAAAATCGACATCGCGAAAATATGTGACAAATGAATTTTTTTTTGTTTTCTGTTAACACATCCACAATTCTAGTTGTTGCTGATGTAAATTATATAAAATTAATTTATTGTTATCCCCCGCCTATGAAATCGGGAGGGGGATATTGTTTTGGCGTTGTCCGTCCGTCCTTCCGTCCGTCCTAATTCGTCCATCCGTCCGTCTGAATTTCGTTTCTGGAGTAGTTCTCTGCAACTACTGGCTGGAATTCAACGAAACTTTATGGGAATCATCAATATCAAGAGGAGATGTGCATATCGACTGCTTGTTCAGGTCCGACACTTTAACTTAGAGTTTAGCCCTTGATTAGTTATGCAGTATGCATAAAGAGTAAAAATCGTTTCCGTGCTATTTCTCTGCAACTACTGGCTGGAATTCAACGAAACTTTATGGGAACCTTCAATATCAAGAGGGGATGCGCATATCGTCCACTTGTTCCAGTCCGACACTTTAACTCGGAGTTATGGCCCTTGATTAGTTATGAAGTATGCATATAGAGTAAAAATCGTTTCCGCGCTATTTCTCTGCAACTACTGGCTGAAATTCAAGGAAACTTTATGGGAACCTTCAATACCAAGGGGAGATGCGCAGATTGTGGCCTTGTTATACCCCTGCACAACAAAGTTGTAAGGGGGGTATACTGGAATCAGCTTGTCCGGCCGTCCGGCTGTCCGTTGGTTTTTTCTTGTCCGCCCAATAACTTAAGATTCCTTTGACCCTTAGTCTTCATATTTGGCATGGAGGTTAGTCATGATTAGTTGATGACCCCTATTGATTTTGAGGTCACTAGGTCAAAGGTCAAGGTCACAGGGGCCTTGACTTCAAAAAGCTTGTCCGCCCAATAACTTAAGATTCCTTTGACCCACAGTCTTCATATTTGGCATGGAAGAAAGTCATGATTAGTAGATGACCCCTATTGATTTTGAGGTCACCAGGTCAAAGGTCAAGGTCGCAGGGGCCTTGACTTCAAAAAGCTTGTCGGCCCAATAACTTAAGATTCTTTTGACCCACAGTCTTCATATTTGGCATGGAGGCAAGTCATGATTAGTAGATGACCCCTATTGACTTTGAGGT